AAAAGGTGGAAAATTTGGAAAGTTGAAAAATATTTTTTTGAAAAAATTTTGCCTATCAAACACTATAAAAGGTTTTCCATTTTCCATGGAACATGTGTGCTATCAAACGGGGCTTAAGTGAAAAGATCATGCAAATTTAGGGTATACACAAGTTAAGATGGAATGAAGATGAACCCTAAAATAGCTTGGATGATAGGTGATAATACCCTTTACTTAAAAGAAATGAAAATAGACTTCGTAGGATATATACAAAATTCTCAGAAACTTGAACGTTGGGTTTTAGGTATAGTACCAGGAATTTCGGAAACTTCGTTCATTTTTCTGCAAATTCAGCTTCTTCTCTTCACTCTTGAGCTACAATTTGATGTATAATCCCAAACATTAGGTAGGAACAACCTCATCGAATTTAGGTGTCCAAACCCTAAGCTAAAACCCTAATATTGCCCTACCTATACCTTGGTTTTGCCATCCGTTTGATACTGCTTTTCCTCGTTTATTTTTTTCTTGTTTCTGGGGCGTGTTGACAGAAAGGATATTCATGTGAGAGTGCATTTTGCAGGTACCCACTATATCTATGCATACATCAATATATATAGGCCACTTCACCACCGGCCAAATCACACTTTCCAGCTTGCTCCCATGGTTTGCTACAGTATACCACCCTTAGGTGGCTTAGTGGGAGGTCAAATGGCTTGGCTTAGTACGAGGTCAAACGGCTTGCTTGAAAGTTCCTACTAACTCCAAAAATTCACCGAGAGCCCGTTTTGCATGATTTTTGCTCGTCTTCTTGTACTTCATGATTTTTTTAACCTTATTAAAAAATGGGGATTTTTAATAAGGTTACCTATTTTATTTAGGTTTCCTTGTATTATATGCCCTTGTCGGGGAGCAATTTTTGGGAAGAAAATCAATTTTTGTGTCAACTCATGGGCCCCACACATGTTGAAGATAAATTAAGTTGCTGTGCATTTTTCTATGAATTAAATTATTTGTACATCATGCTTTACACCTTACTTTATTCCCTTGAATAGGTGACAATGTTTTAATGAGGGTAATTGGCGCAAAACGTCCCTACTTATGACAGGTTGTGTGGAAAACGTCCCTACGTTTGATTTTTTGGTGCAGAACGTCCCTACCTATGCATTTTCTTGCGCAAAACGTCCTTTTCCCTAATTTTTAACTTAAAATGACCTATATACCCTCCAATTGAAATAAAAGGAAAAGGGAATTGATTTTTTTGGGCAGAACGTCCCTACCTAAGCATTTTCTAGCGCAAAACGTCCTTTTACCTAATTTTTAACTTAAAAAGACCTATATACCCTCCAATTGAAATAAAACAAAAAGGAAAAGACAAAAAAATAAAGAATAAATTACAATTTGCTCCTAAACTTTTTTAAAATGCAAATCAGTCCAAAAAACTAAGGGATAATTGCAGCAAACGTATTAAAACCTAAAATAATTATAAAAAAAGAAAAAGGAAAGGAAAAAAGTCACTGTTCATCACCTTCTTCACCCGCCCCGCCCCGCCCCGCCCCGCCCCGCCCCCACGTAATTGAAATGAAAAAATAGCTAGATCAGATCACAACAAGAAAAAGAGATCTGTAAACTACTTAAAAGGATATAAAAAATGGGGGAAAAAATTAGACCAAAAAGATTACATATTTATGGTTTAAACCTGAGATTTTGTGGAATTTCAGATTTTGGGCTCTCCAGTGCGTGTAGTGACCAAATGTTTTCGGCTTGGCTATGGATTTATAAATGAGCTGGCGCTTTTTTTTCATTTATTCTTGCTGTATTTTTTACTTACCTAATATTTGGGGGTTCATGTTTTCACTTTCTGAAAATCACCACCCACCAGGGACGGGTGAGTTTTGATTGTAATTGAGTGTGTTGAGGAAGCACATGGAGTTGGTGAGGTCTGGTTCGAGCGAGAGCTTATGAAGGAGGGAAGGGAGTGGGAGTAATTTGATAAAAAAATGCATTTTTAATATTATTATAAATTTTCGAGGCGATTTAGCTCCAACTTCACAGGATCCGACCTGTGGAGCAGATTTAAGAACTCATATGCATCTAAACTCGGTCGGACCGCCGCCCTCCGTCGCGACAAGCTCTTGCCTCCGTCCCTAAATGACGCGGACATCGTTAAGGGGGTCTCCTGTGGAGCCTCACTAGGCCGCTCATTGTCGTTTGCCTCGCCGGAACTCAGCTCCGGCGTCAAGCTAAAACTTCCGTCGCCGGAAACTTCCTCCATATCCGATCTATACGCTTTTTCTTTCGCACATCAAATACACAAAACACCCAATTTTATTCCTCCGGTATAAGCATTTATACAAACACCTCAAAGAGAAATTACTGCATAGATCGCAGATCAATTACTTAAACAATTATAAGTAGAGAGAGAATTTCAGAGAGATTAATTCGAAAATGTAGTGTGCAATATATTAGATTAGTGTGAGGATTAAAATAAAGAGAGAGTGGTGATTTGAGGGCTCCTGTGTTTGTTTCTCTCTCTAAGGAATGGGTCCCACGTGGGACCGAGGAGAATAAAAAAGGCCAAAAAAAAAAATACCCACCTGGAAAGTTGACTTTCATTCACAGAACAATAAAAATGCATTTTTAATATTTTTATAAATTTTGGACTCATTTTCATTTTAAAAAAAGTCTAGGGATAAAATTGCAATTTATTCTTTATTTTTCTTTTATTTTCCTTTTTTGTTTTATTTAAATTAGAGGGTATATCGGTCATTTTATGTCAAAAATTGGGAAAAAGGACGTTTTGCGCAAAAAAAGTGAAAGGTAAGGACGTTCTGCACCAAAAAATGAAAAGTAAGGACGTTTTCCACATAAACAGGCAAAGGTAGGGACGTTTTGCGCCAATTACCCTTTTAATGATTGGATTAAAGTTATTTTTGTCAAAGATGATTTGAGATCTCGTGACGTGTAAAAAATATAAATCAAGTTGTAAAGTAGGATGTACATCATGCTTTACACCTTACTTTACTCATTTTCTACTTAAGGTACACGACTTTCAAAATATTTTAAAAGTCCATAATACCCCTTTATGCAATAGTGGAAGGAAATGAATACACGGCATTATCGACAATTGGTCTAGACAATGACCAGTGGGTACGATACTTTTCTGAAAGGAGTCAAAGTACATGAAATAAACAAATGATATTTGATTGTGTCATACAGTCATATTTTACCTTTTAATTCTAGTTTAATCGGTCTCAAACAAGTGCTATATTCGGATTAGCCGCAACTCATATAGTTGATTCCTTTTCTATCCGTAGTTTTTTTTCATATTGAATTTTCAAGTAAATCTTGTGTTCTTGAAATAAACACATGTAGGAAGTTGAAATCTCCTCAAGAAACAGAAAGTACTTAAGAGATTCAGAAGGGGCAGCATGACGGATACCAAACAAGGTAATAGCTTAAGTGATTCAAAGATTACATAATTATAAGATAGAAAAAAATTAATATTGATGATTCATTGTAGTTTATAATGGGGGTTGGCTAACAAACCTTATGCAGAAACTCATTGCCAAGAGATCAATGATGAAAACAAGAAACCAACTTACAATTCCCCTCTCCCTCTCGCTGCGGCAAATGAACGAGCAGCAACAAAATCATCATAAGAGACCCGACAAAACATATGGATTGAAACGTCAACACTTGTCTATTATAGCGGTAAAGTTTCCGAGGAAAATTATTATAATGCGGAAACGTGCAATAACTAGAAAGAAAGACATTAGAATGAATGACGTTCTTTCCAATGGAAGTTCTCAAAAGTGAATGAACCACTTCAATCTCATTTAGGGTGTATTTGAGCCACATTATTTTGGAAGAATGTATTCTGAAATAGTAGATTGATGGAGAATTTGTGGTTGAAAAAAAAGGAAAAGTTATTGATTCGATGGAAAATATTATTTTATTGAAGAATGTGTGGTTGAAAATGAGTAGAAGAATGAGAATAAAAATTTTAATGTGTACCAAACAGGAGCTTAAGAACAAAAAAAAAAAAAAAAAAAACTTCCATTTGTTTATATCTTAAACTATAAACAAATATTAGACATAATCTAAAATTGTCCTTACAATAGAGCCATAATTTGATGCTTCTATAAAAAAAAAAAATAGTAACGTGTAGCGTCAATTTTAGCTTCCTCGTGATGAGTAATAAGATAACGTTTGATAACTGTTGTATCTTACCTACGTAATGGTTTTTCCACTTTTGGCAATCATTTTTCAGAAAAAACGTCTAGTCCAATATGCTGATTATCATCGTCGGATCCGGCGAATAATAGAAAATGGATCAACAATTCTAAGTTAGTGATATAAATTATAAACTAAACAAACGACGAAAGAAAGATAAGGAAATGTTCACATTAATTAGAAATAAAACTACAAAAGAAATAACTAAACAGAACTAAATCTCTGATAGATTGGTATACAGAATCTTTCATTCTCGAAAGGGAAAATCATCTTATCCAGGAACGCGAGATCTTTGTCTCTAGACTCTTCAAAATCAGCAAACATTGAACCCCCAGCAGACTTTTTGCCCTCTTTGCATATCATTGAATCAAATCAATATTGTTGAAAATAAGTCCATGTTTGATGACATTATTTTGACAAAAAAAAAAAATGTTTTAAATAGTATTTTTTTGGAGGATATGAGATTACAAAGTAGAGAAAAATTTTGAATTTGCGTGCAAAATATTTTATTGTGTGAATATATAGTTAAAAATAAGTATAAAAATTAAAGAGTTCTATTTTAAAGGGAGATCAACATGGGCTAAATCAACGCAAATACATATAAATGAAAATATAATAATGACAGGACAACAAGTATTGTTAGTGAGAAAGTTCCCGATATAAATATCTATGGGTAATTGGCGCAAAACGTCCCTACCTATGACGGGTTCTGTGGAAAACGTCCATACCTTTCATTTTGTGGTGCAGAACGTTCCTACCTTTGCATTTTCTTGCGCAAAACATCCATTTCACCAATTTTTAACATAAAATGATCATTATACCCTCTTATATAAATAAAACAAAAAAGGAAAGTACATAATAAATTGCAATATGCTCCTAAACTTTTTTAAAAATACAAATCGGTTCAAAATTTATGAAAATATTAAAAAGGGAAAATTGCAAAATAGGTTAAAATATTTATTAAAAAACCAAAAAATAAAAATCAATTTATAACACTTCTTCCTCCCACCCCACTCCGACAGTCAGCACCGCCGCCCCCAAAGCCGGCCACCACCGCCGTCGACACGTTGCAGGCCCACCCCTATCTCCTTCCCCAACCCCACTCTCTCCACCCTCAAAATGCTACCACCACAATCAAACCCAACCCCAAATCCACAATCAAACCAAAACAAATCCTCTTTTTGAAGCTTTTCCATGACCTCGCCCGTAACTTCCCCTGCGCCCCACCATGTGAAAAAACTGAGGGGGAAACTCCATCACCATCTTGCCTTCATATCCACTCCCC